GCTACCAGGCGCCAAGTCTTTCTGTAGGAGATTGGGAACGAGATGGAGGTGGATCAGGAGCGCGACGACGGTTCAGAGAACGTTTCACTAGAAATGCTAGCTGAAACATCCAATTCTGCTGCCCAAAACGACGAAAATCCTCGGCCACATTTGAAAGACTGCTTTTCATTTAAATTCAAGATGGCCGACAGCATCATCACGCAATGCCAGATGTGTCTGCCAAAGGTGACTGAACTGGCAGCATTCAATAACTCCACATCTAATCTGCGGAAGCATGTTTTGGGAAGTATTTAGTACATCGGTACTTCAAACAAAGTTTTCATGACTAATAGCCAATTAGCAAAACAACCTGTTTCGTGGCATTGCTGATTTTGTCTAGCACAGGGGACGGCAACCCGCGGCTCCGGAGCCGCATGCGGCTCTTTCATCCTTATACTGCGGCTCTGAGTGGCTTGGGAAAATAAATTGCTAAAAAATAAACTAAGTATTTCATTTAAGTCAGTGTTTCCCGCAGCTCTATCTTGGCGAGGTTGGAAACAGTTTTTTTTTTTATGTAACTAAGTAACTTTTAATTAAAATACACTTTAAATTAGCCAATTATTACTTTTACTTGAGTAATTTTTCTGATGGGTAATTTTACTTGTGCTTGAGTAATATTTCATCCAAGTATTGGTACTTTTACTTGAGTATGATATTTACTTTTTCCACCTCTGCTCTTACCTGTAGAAGGGGAAAATAGAAATACAACAGGGACACGATGTAGCTCAGTCAAATCTAATGTTGTAATGGATGAACGAGAACCACACGTTCCAAACACAGGCTGGGCGAGGCATTAGCAATCGAACACAGATAATTCGATCGGAACTTAAAACTTACAGTAAGAGAGAGTTAAACTTAATAAAACAGCAAACAGCATTGTTACTTCCCAACACAAAACACTGAATAGAAAAGCATTCTTCAAACAGTTTTATTTTTATCTTATTAACCTTTTTAACTAAGAAGAAGAAAACCAATGGATTACCTGTCAGGAACCCAGTTTATGTGGTCTGTTTTTGTGTTTCCTTTCCTCCTCCACTAGGTGGTGCCCCGTCCTCATTAGGCCTCCCTGCACACCTGCAGCTCGTTGCCTCATTACCTGTGGAGCGTTCTTAAGCTGCTGACTGCCACTACCTCGACTCCAGAGTGTTTGCCAGTTTGGGTCCTCTAGCCAAGCTGAGTCTTGCTGAGTCAAATTGAGTTTTTGTCTCCCTGAGTTTTAACCTCGCTGTTTTTGTCTTTGCCTCTCGGCAGGAAGTCATCCTGCAAACTGGATGTTTCGGACCTTCTCTCCCTGGAAGGATCTTCTGAGAACCAAACTGAGCTGAGGATTCAAGTTTGTGGTTTGGATCAACCTTTTCTCCCCAAGGATTGTCTGGGGCTTCTCTCTGAGCATGGGATTCATCTCCACAATAACCCGTTCAAGTACCGCAGGAAATCTAAGTGGCAGTCAGCTTCTCCGTTCACCAAGGAACATTCGCAATCCGGGTAAACCCTGTCCGCCCTCCATCGAACAAGACAATCACTGGAACATTCCACACAGACTGGATTCAATTAAAGACCCCTTTTTCTGGAAACGTGAGTCTGCAACCTATTCCTCCTCTTCAAGTCAAAGAACCTAATTTCCCACTGAGCCTGAACTAACCGCAGTGTCTTCCCCTCACTTTCCAGTTCTGGTTCGACAGTGTTCAGAGCAGCACTGGACTCATCTCATCCAACTAAATAAACCTGTTTGGTCTTCTGCATATGGGTCAGATCATTAATTAAATCATGACATTACCGACCTCTACATCATTAAAACGCAACTTTAATAACAACGTCTGTTTCTATCATCTTTACAGAAACTGGTTCAGATAAACTGAAACTTTTTAAAATCTGATCTTAGCCCAACTATTAGAAAGATCTAAGATATTTCTAAGATCTTGGCTCTCTTCATGGGATCTGAGACGGTCTGCTGTGAGTCAGAATGACATCCTGTTCTGTGAGGATCATAATGAGGCCAGGTGGGACAGGTCTAACCAGTCAGTCACCAGCTCTAGAAATGCCTCTACATCCAGGAACACAGAGATGACTCTGTTAGGGCCTCCTTCACTCTACTGACTGCCTGACCTGAAGACTGACAGGAACAAAGACGGACCATCAGCTTTTTAAGGTAACTGACGAGTTTGTGAAGGTTTGCATTGAACTGGAGAGTCATGCAGACTGCTTCCTACCAAAGGGACGTGTTCCTACAGTGGAAAAACTATCTAGAAATAAGTAAAAATGTAATAAATTAAGTGTATTTACCTTTATTTTGAGTAGTTAAATGAGATGATGATGAATGGAATGAGTGTTTTTACTCCTAAAATAAGATACTTAAATAAAATGCACTTGAAATGAGACAATGCAGTTGTGTTTCCTTATTTTAAATGTAAATTGTCTTGTTCCATTGGCAAAATTTCTCTTTTACCTCCTTAATTCAAGAACAAATGCACTGATTTTAAGGAAAAATGACTTAACTAGATTTTAATTTGGCTGAATTTAGACAGCAGAAACTGATTAAATTAAAGGGCTGAACATTGAAAACTGATGTGCAACAAGGATCAGACGCAGCACCAAAGAGCATTTCCATCCCATTATATCCCAACTAGATTCATTCCCTCTGATGCCTGCAGGTCGGCATCAACTCCTCATCATGTCCGACTTCAGGAGACACTTGGATGAAGTGAAGAGCAAAGGATTCGGTTCTGAGCAGATAGTGAAGTTCTACAATGACCGGGCAGAAACGTATGAACAGGTAGGTCCAAAACACGAGGAGCCGGAGGAGCTCTGCTAGAAGCAGGGGCGGATCTAGGAAAATATTTATGGGGTGG